TAAACCCAAACCAAGTTGTCTGTGGCCAAGTGCCACATTCAGTTATTTCTTGAACACAAAACCACTTGTAAAACACTTGTAAAGCACTTATTCCTTGTATCTCAATCTGAATTTACCCTCTTGTAATAACAAGAAAAAAAAAAAGAAAAAAAATAAAGAGGACAGGTAGAAGGACCATCAGAAAAAAATTCCATTACCTAGAGCCCCAGATTTTGAATTGCTGTGCCACAGAAATGCACAGGGTTTGGGCCACAGAGCTGCTATTGGCACTGGCAGGGGAATGAGCATGAATACAGACAGACACTGAATTGCACAATGTTAACACAACTTTCATACAGATAAAGATTTTTCCAGCAGGCATAATTAAAAAATAGTCTAACAGAATAATTTATGTTGTGTACTGATTTGCATTAATGTGGAGGAAAATATTCAGCACTTCCTGATGGGAAATATAAACTCCTGGAATGGAGAAAGTGGCAGTGAGTCTTGTATATCATTAAATCATGTATACCCTTAGAAATTCTTTGTATTCAAGCATTCAAACTCTTTTATTCTTCTGTAGTGGAGATAAAAATCACAGTGCCAAATTTTATTTATTTCTATACAAAAATTGGCATGCACAGAATCAGTTTTCTGCTCCCTGAGGATGCATACTTAATAAGGAGGATTTTTTTTTTCCTAGGAGGAAACTCCAAAAAATTCTGGGCCAACAATGCTATATATTGCTTGTGCACTTGCTTTTCTCATAAGAACCAAAAGTCTGTGCATTATACAAATGCAAAGAAAGGCACAGCAGAGAACTGAAATAAAAAAAATATTCTCTATGTTTCTCAGGTTAAAAAATATATATTTTTTTGTTTGCTTTGGTAGTTTAGAGGAAGACTGGAAAGCAAGATGATTTAAAAGTTCAGGGCTAACACACCCTATAAGAAATATTATATTGCAGGAGAACCTGAATATCTTTTGCTAAATAGTTCTGTAAAAAAAAAAAATAAAAAATTTTTGATTTCTTGTCAAGTTTTTTGGGCTAGCTGTAAGGCATCAGAAGGGGGACAGCTCTGTGTGCTTACCACAGGGTAGCAGGAGCCAGATCTATTTCTAATGCATGTGTTGTTTCCTCATTAAAACCAGTGGGGCAGAATCTGCTTGGTTAATTCCTGATTTCATACCTTGTCAGGTGTGCTCACCTTTCAAAAGGGAAAGGACACTGGTTTGGGCCCTCAGGCAGACTCATTCCTCTCAGGATGATTCTGAATCACAAGATTGCTTTACATGATTCTCTGAGTCCTTGAAGTTCTGCATTGAGGATAATAAAATGTATTTATTGGTGCACAGTAAGCTTTTGGTTTTGATTTCCCAGGAGGACAGGTCTGGGTGCTTGCCCTGGATGTTGGATCAGTGCCTGGCAGTGGGGCTGCTGCTCTGCCCTCCCTCCCAGCAATGATCCACCCAACACTTGTGTTCCTTTGTCACCCCAGCTCCTTGCGGCCTGGGAGGCTCAAAAAACAGTTCCCTGGGCTCTGTTTCCTTGGAGCAGCCACAGCTGTAGGCAATGACTCCAGAATTGATGTTTTTTTGCAGCAGACACACACTCAGCCACCACTCCAGTGTGGTCACGGTGCTTCACGGGAAGGTTTTGTTTTCTGCATCCCACCCTTCATCCTGCTCACAGACCAAACCCTGCCCTGCAGGGTGGCCAGCCAGCACATCCAAGTGCAGGATTTGGTGCCCAAAGGTGGGCACTGGTGCCAGGACAGATGACCCTGGGCATCTGGGGGTGCAATGTGGAACTACAGGAAGCTTGGATCTACCTGGGGACCAAGCTGGCACCAAGGGGTTCTGGCAATTGACTCGCCCTCCTTATTTCCAGCAGTAAAAATGTGCTTCTGTGGAAGCAGCACAATCCTCCTCATTAGGGAGAGGAACCCTCCAGACAGGCTGCTGGCCCTGGGAAACAGGAGAGTTGCATTTCATGTTAATTGAAACTGATGCTCGGGCTCGGGACTCCTTGTTAAAGCTCTGAGCAGCACATTTGTGTGGCTGAGAGGAGAACCAGAAGGGCCGTGTGGTTCTTGGCAGCTCCATCCTCCTATTGCTCAAGAGCAAAAGGAAAAAAAAAAAAAAAAAAAAAAACCAAAAAAAACCTCCTCTTTGACCCAAAACTTAGAGCACTCTCAGTGAGGACAGAAAGATTCTTGTCCACAGTGGGGGGCCATGGGATGAGACACTTGGGAAGCATTAATTTCATTCCTGGGAACAAGCATAAGAATAACTGTTGTTCAGGGAAAAAAATCCTTCCCACACTTCCTTTTAATCCTTTATTCTGCAAGCGGCGGAGCTCGGCTTCCCCCTCCTGGGGACAGGACGGATGGGCAGGAGCTGAGAGAGGATTTTCCTTCTCTGGGTGCTCCAGTGTGGAACTGTTTTTAAAATGCTGACTCTGGACACCCCTGGCTTTGTATTCTCAGGGGGCTTCTGAAGGGCAAAGTGATTTGGAAGCCAAGCCTGCTGAAGCAGGATGAAATCTGCTATGGCAATGTTTTTGTCTTTGCTCGAAGAGTATTTGGTGTCTTGTCATCAAAGCCCACAGTTGCTGTTTTGAAAGGTTGAGTGGTGATAATCTGCATTGTTTTGGTGTTGTAAATAGAAACCCTGTGTGCACCTAATACAGAAGTTAAATTCTGAGTCATGAGAAAGTACCTTTGCCTTCATTAACTTGAGAAATCCTTTTGAAGTTTGCAAAGCAGTGATTTAAAAGTTCAGGGGTAATTGATGATGATTCCCTTTTAAGACAAAAGAGCACTGTATCTATTTTGAAAAATAAGGCATGCATTATAATAACAATATGTACAAAGGAAATCAGTGTAGGATTGATCAGGTTCAGTAATAAAATCATCCCCTTCAATTAATCAATCAAAAGACAATGAAGATTTATACCTAGGCATGACAGCCCATCAGCTGTGCAGGTTATTTCTGTGAGTGCTCAAGCACAGATACATAAAACACAGCTGGTTACTCGTGGCTTTAACACTCATGGAAGTGTGGAGGGCAGGAATCACTTGAAGCAGGAGCACCTGTTCATATGAAACAGCAAAGTTTCAGGTTTTGAAGATGTACAAGTTCATTTTCATGAAGGCTCAACTTATTTTTTTACTCCTTCTCCTTTTAAAATCAAACCCAAAGGTACGAACTTTTTATCTCAGTTTTTCATTTTCTCAAAAGAAGCTGGCAGATATACCAGCTTTGTTATAGTGGGTACATTTAAATGGACACAAGTCTGGGGAGATTAAAAAGGAAACTACTATTTGTTTATGCAAAACTTTGTGTATGGTGGTCCTGGAGGAATAGGGAAGTTTGAATTTCATTTGTGGCAGCAATTCTACATTTATCCATAAATCTTCTCATATGTTTTATTTTATTTTCTAAGATGACTTCCAGAAAAGCAAGATTGTAATTTATTTTTATTATTTGTGATACTTATTTGGGGAATTCCATTTTTCACTGAGAAAGGGAAATGGGGTTTTGAAGTCACAACTTCTTCCCTATTTCTTACATAACTCCTGTCCCACAGGTAATTTGTCTGAATATATTTGGTGAATAGCAAATACTTAAAAATCTATATTTTCACAAACCTTCATTAAAGGCTTAAAAAAATAAAAATCAGAAAATTGACCATGTATTAAGTTGGTCATTGCTGCGTGTTTTGACATAAAAGGTTTGTCTCTTATCTGAATTTGTGTGGCTTTCTCATTCTGTGCTCTTGTGCCAAGAGATATGAAGAGTTACAAATATCTCTATTGTATGCTCTAGTGGAATTTCCTCATAATTATTGTTCCAGGCTTCTAAAATGTAAACTACTTGGCATTTTACAATTTTCTCAGTAGACTCCTGAGTACCAGCAGAAAGTCTGGTTGCTCCCCCAAGTCATCATGCCAGTCAAATCATGATACACAGGAAACAAATATAAAATATGTATTTAATAACAAATGTAGGATATGAGCCTGGAAATTGCCAGACTGGATGCAAATTTCAATGAAAGTACAAAGATATTATTTGAGTCTGATGTCTTTATCTAATCCAAAAGTAAAAATTTCTTCCTCTGGCCCCTTCCTATGTAGATATCTAGTTCTTGTACACATAGACCAAAAAGCTCATAGTTCCCCAACAAGTAGCTCTTTTTAATGTATATTCATCATTTGCTAGAAAAGAAAAATCCAAGTCAGAGATGTACATCAGTGTTTTGGAAGATATATTTCAACAGATATGAACCTGGCTGGAATATTACAAAGGTTCCAAAATTAGAAATTCTCAGCTCTACACAAACATAATCTGGTGAAAATCACCTGTTATTATTAAGCTGTGCAAATATCTATCTCATACCAACCAGCTTAAATTCACAGTTATGGAAATATTTGCTTCCAGATGTGCCAGCTTTAACTCTCTTCCCAAGATTTTAATTTTCCAGTGTTCCCTACTATTGCCCAATCCAACAGCCAGTCCTCCATGATTTACTTTTAAGAGCCAGATCTTCAACTTGCAGCTTTGATTTAAAGAAAAAAAACCAAACACCCTCCCACCCTGCCAACTATTTTAACTAGATTGATTTACCCTTGGTCTTAGATACCTTCTGTGTCCCAACAGCAGGAATTTGGAGGACCAGGTATAAAATACCCATGGATACCCCTAGAAGGAGCCACAGGCAGCAGTGACAGATCACCTTGACCTCCATCCTTCTCCAGAGCTCCAGGTAAAAACTTGTTTTTCACAGTGTTACAGTTCTTCATTAGGTGTTGACAGTGGCATCTGAATATTTTCAACAAGATTTCCAATGATATAACTTCCAGAATTTATAAGCTTTGAGGAATTGACAGCATGGATCAGCTTTACAACTGATGAATTGAGTGTGAAAGCACCTGTGAGCCCAACCCTTACACAGCTTCTTTCTCTTACTGTGCTTTTTCCTGTCTTTAGTAATCCCCTGTTTTAAGTTCCTTATTCAGGCGATGGGACTGAAATAAAGAGCAGCACTAGTGGGGGCTCTCGGCTGGGCTGCCACAGCCCGGTGCCAGGACAGGGAGGAATGGCCTCACACTGAAAAAGAGTAGGTTTAAATTAGATATTCAGAAGAAATTCTTTACTGGGAGGGTGGGGAGGCACTGGCACAGAGAGGCTGTGGCTGCCCCATCCCTGGAGGTGTCCAAGGGCAGGTTAGATGGGGCTCTGAGCAGCCTGGGGTAGTGGAAGATGTCCCTGCCCATGGCAGGGGGTTTGAACTGGCAGATCTTTATTTTCCCTTCCAATGCCCCAGGTCATTCTGTGGTTCTGTGATTTAACTTCCCCTACTTTCACTACCCCATTTTTAACCCCTGCTGCAGATTTGTGGGTGTTTTTCTCCGCAGATAACAGGAAACCCTGTATTTCCACCACTCAAGCCCCAATTAACAGTTTTAATCCATTTGCAGGACATCTCACTCGACCTGTGCTTCCATTTTAAGGGGTGATGACCTGAATCTCCCAGGACTGTTCAGGACATCAAGACAGACCCAAGGCAGACTCAGCCTACACCATGCAGTAAGACCCAACCTATCCCTCCATTATCACTCTCCCAAAGGCTCTCCTCCTTCCCCAAAAGATTTGAAATTACTATTTCATGACACAATACAACCATAAGAACGTGGCTAGCATTCCTGGAATTCTGTATTGCCTGAGGTATATAAAATTTGATTTTTTAGTGGTAAATGGAAAAGGATTTTTAGCTCCTAAAAGTGATAGATCTTTGGTGATCTGTGTAAAACCATACATTTCTTTAAGCTAATTGAATTGTCAAAAAATGCCCATGCTAATTTTATTGTAAATTTTTTTGTCTTTTTAGAAGGTCCATATTCATGTCATGATTTAATGCTGGAGATTTATTTTGATGTCTTTTACTCAGGGTAGCAAACAGTTACAGTTTCAATCATCTAGACTGCACTTGATTAAAACATCTGTGAACCTGAGTGTGTTAATTAACTGTTTTCCTAGTTTAAGGATGTTTTTTTGGTATGTAATTTCTGCCTGAATGGCAAGTCATCTTCCCATGCAATATCAGATAAAGTTGGTTCAATAATCCTGTCACTTATTTTCCACACAATTGTTCTCCTCTGTATTTGTGGCGTGTTTTGCTCCTCAGTGCCTTGTTATAAATTTATGACATTGCTAGTCAATATGATATCAATTATGGTTTGACATAGTAGAGTTGCAGGTTTTCTTTAATTTTCTGGTGTGAAAAAGATTTTCCAGGACCGTCTTCACAGCTTATTGTAAAATTCTCCAGAAACATCAGAAATTTCACATAATAAATGAGAAATATAGTTGTTTGTCACTGTCATGATTTCCTCTGCAGAAACCCAAACATTACCCTCATTCATCAACTAAACCTTAATTAAATGAACCTCACAAAACCCTATCTCAGCAAGACTCTTGTGAAATTTATTTCATGTTTTGCGGCCCTTAGCTGAAATGTGCTCTGCAGCTGTGAAACGCTCCTCTTTCCTATTGAACAAACCCTGTATCCACTGCCTGCTTCTCACACTTCAGGGTTTTCTCCTGATGTATTAAAAAGTGAAATTAAAACCATCATATTCTGTATCATGTCCTAGGGCAAGTGCTGGGTTTTTTGCTGGAGGGATCTGTTGTACCAGTAGAGGTTGATAGCAATGATGTCAGGAATGACTGAAAATAAAATCAGGCTAAAGGTAGGATGTTTCAGTGGAATGAAAGAATACTCTTCTGCTGTAGGTGAAGAGCTGAAAGATTGTTCATGAAGGGAAAAGGTACATGCTGGGACCCTAAGGCTGTTCTGTGATCCAAATGCATGCCCTTGTACAAGAAACTGAGGCAGCAAATGTGAATTCCTTGCATCAGTCAAAGCTGAGATAAAATCTAATATATGCAACATCACCACATGACCTGTTGGCTCTACAGCTGCTCCAAGGGAAAAATGTAGACAATTAATTTTAGTGGAGATAGTTCAGGAGCAGTGTCAAATGATAGATCATCTGTTTTCTTCATCAAGGCAATGAAAGATTTAGGATTGACAAAGATATTAAGCAAGGGGAACTTTCCAATTGCATGCAAATCAATGGCTTGGTGGGAAAAGAGTGCTTCAGTAGGAGAAAACAACCTCATGATAATTTCTGACCTTTCACTTTGAAACATACAGAAATATTTTACAGGCAATAGCATAAAAAAATCTTAGGGGGAAACAAATGAAGTTCAGAGTGCACAGACTTTCAGTAATTTAAAATCCTATTAAAACCAGGCAGGGCAAAAGAGAGGAGTTTAATGATAAGGGAGAGATCATAGGAACTAAGGAAAACTAAATCTACACATGAATTGTTCTACTCCTACAGCAAAATAAGGTATGTTCTGGTGCAGTGAGTGAGGTATGTTCTCTGCTTCTCTTGTGTTGATCACAAGCAAATAAAAAGAGAATTTACAAGTCTCTACTGTGACCCAGTGTGGGAGGCAGGTGCTGCATCCCCACTGAGCAATGCCCACTTTGCCACTGCAGCTCTTTCTCTGCCTGGAGCTAAATGCTGTGGTGAGAGAAGGTAGGTGTGAGTATTCTCATGGTGGAGCTGGTTGCCAAAGACAAATCTTGATGTGAAATAGCTGGCTGGCAACTGACGTGGAAATGTGCAGGGGGAAATCCGTCCTTGCAGGTAAACAGCTTTGTAAGGTATGTTCTCAAAGCTGGTCTAACCTGTGCTTCAAAATGGACAGGAAAAGGGTGGACTCTTCAATTAGAGAGGAAAAATATTGCCCACCACTCCCTCCATATGAGCACAGACCACCTAAAACAGACCTGGTTCTGATGAACTCTATGGGTTGGCATTCCTTGAGGCTGAAATCCCACTCCTGCCTGCAGGCAGTGGTGGCCTGGGCTTATCCAAATCAGCCAGAAGTGTCAAGCTCATACTCTACACTAAGTAAGTCTTTGATACTTGATTAAGGCTGTTAATTAGGATTAGTGGTGTGGTGTAATGAGTTACCTGTTTCCAGTTTGCATCAGCAAATTGTGTCAGCACCTCAGACCTGCCCTACTCCTCTTTCACCTCAGCCCTGTTTGTCCCTGCTGCTCCAGCCCAGCAAAGCTGCCTCTGCTCCTTCCAGGACTTGGTGTTGCCCTCCCTCCCTTCCTTTCCTTCCTTTCCTTCCTTTCCTTCCTTTCCTTCCTTTCCTTCCTTTCCTTCCTTTCCTTCCTTTCCTTCCTTTCCTTCCTTTCCTTCCTTCCTCTCTGCCGCTGATTTATCTCCCTGCTGAGCTGGGGTGTCTTACCATGGACCAAAAACCTGAACTGGGCCAGGCAGCTCAGATCTTCTGAGTCCCCAGAGAGCCACTTAATGATTAAATATTTAATTAAAGATGACATGATTCCTAAGCCAAAGAGAGAACCACATACCTTATTTGAAGTCATTAGAGAGATTTGGCTCCTGGTTTAGTGGACATACAATGAACTTCTGCAAACAAATAAATGTAGAAACATATATCAAGTATCTATATTTTAACTATACATGGGGTTTGGGGGTTTGGTTTTTTTTCCTGCAGTGGATCAGTAAACCAGGTAATCCAGGCTGACTGGAGCACATTGGCTGATTGTGGCACATTCCTGTTGCTCTGCAAGGTACAGTTCATGTGGTGGAGATCCCTTCCCTGATCCTAGTGAGGAGATTTGTCTGTTTGGGAACATCAGGTCACATCTTTTGTGGTCATTTTTCACAGAATCAGAACATGCTGAGTTGGGATGGACCCATCAGGATCGTTGAGGACACCCCAAGAATCCCACGACGTGCCTGAGAGAGAGGCTCAAATATCTCTTGACCTCTGTCAGGCTTGAGTCCATGATCACTTTCTATGAGTGAAATTAAATATCTTGACTTGGTTTATCACCAGTTTCTTCCTTTAGTGATCCCACTCTGGCTCTCCAGAACTGAAGTTCATTTTAGGTGGTGCTGCATCCTTCTGCAGCTGTGTGACTGCACCTGTATGTGCTGAAATCCAGTCCTGCTCTGGAAGCTGTTAAATAGAGAATATATGAAAAAAATTCAAGTGTGAGATCCATTCAATCAGTGCTATTTTATGCTGCCAAGCAAAAGGAAAAGAGAAGGCACTGGAATCATGTACACAAATTTTTCACAATTTCTGACAACACTGGGCATGTCTTTGGTTTCATAAATGAATGACTTGAACTGTTCTTGCCTCCAAGGCAAATCTGTGAAGTATCAAGAAGGAATGATGCCTTGAAGATACTCTGATGGGTGAGGAGGAGATTGCTGCACGATGACTGGCACTTGTGCTCTGGAAACAAAGCAATGCTGTTATAATTAAAGCAGCATCACCTGAAAGCAGATGAGCTGGGGGGAAATTGCCCTTTTGGGGCGCTGTATTTTTCTCTGAAGGCAGGAATAATTTACTATTTTACTGTGATACCTTTACTGAAGATATTTTTTGCTGGTGCTTGTCAAATTTCAGTTCATAAAAGCTGATTTTTCTTAGAAACTTGCCTGCTTTCAGAGCACCATCTGCTGGTGCTTGCTGGGTCCCGTGGGCTGCTGCTGGAGAGCTGTGATGCTCTGCATTCCCCAGAGGAGGGGAAGGGTCTGGTGGTGTTCACTGCAGCTTGGCTGTGTTGTGAACCACAACAGCATTTCTTCAGTTAGATTTCTGCTCAGTATCCACTCATCCTGCCAGAGTCTGTTTTCTGAAGGTAATTCTTATTCACATTGTGAAACCCTTTAAAAGGAGCAGGAATATTTGCATTTTGGGGCTAATGCTTGAGTGGTGATTTGTGGGCTTGGCCCCTTAAGTTTTGTGTAAGCTCATCCACAGCTCTGTGGCTCTGCAGAGAAAGAGGCTGTGCTTTACCAAATGTGAGCAAATGTGTTTAACAGACTTCGTGTTGAATTTGTCAGATTTTCAATTATGTCTTTTGTTTAATGCTTTATTGCCCCTAATCCCTACTCAAATACAATCTATTTCTTTCGTTAACATGAATGAATTTGCCACATTTGAGGGAAATCAGTGATGACTGAGCAAATTTTAATTGATATGTATGAGATAATTTTAGGTCTGAATTTTGTTGAGATCATCAAAGAATATTTATGTGGGTTCTAGCCTTGGACCTGCAGATGTGTTATGAAGGTCCAGTGACCTTTTCTCAGTCAAAGTTATCTTTTAAACCATAGCACAGTTTTGGATGCCCTGTGTCTCCAAAAAAATGAAGAACTCTTCTATTTCTAGCCACAAACTTACCTAAATGCTTTAAAGGATTTAATACTAATGTTTTAATCATGTTGATGACTTAGCTGTTTTTAGAAAGAAAACTCTAACTGAACTCTATGGTACAAAGTCATCCAAATGTCTCCTAAAAATACCTGCAAAGCAGTTAATGTTCTTTCCAGCCTTTAAATGTGCCTGAAGACTTAACACTGCATTAAAGAAATGAAGTACAATTAGAGTGTAGGATTATGTGGAGATATGAAGTTAAAGAGGCTCCTGAAATAACCATTTTGTAAGCAAAATGTGAATTCTTTCTGAAAGAAGATGGTGAAAATGGTGTCTGAAGCAGCAGAGTCTCTAAGGCAGTGGTGCATTGGAGCCCCATGCCCTGATTCACTTTGTCCTTTGAATCCCTGTCCCAAGAGCCTCAAAAGGGACTGGTAAATCCTGTAGGTCCCATTCCCCATGGCACTCCTTCCCTTCCTGCCTTGCAGCTGTTCTTTCAGTGAGTAAAAATGGACTTAAACTCTTCATCTTTGCACAGAGGTTTGGGTCTGGTTGGTCTGGACTTCCAGGGATATCCTGTGATATTAGGGATTGTTCTTACACTCCAGGAGTCCTAAGAGAATTAAACCTGAGCAGAAAGATGCGGGATCTTGCACCTCCAGGAAGCTTTACCAACTACAGGCATCTAAATCAAGAAAGAAGAAAAAGCAATTTGAAGGCTGAAACAGAATCTCTTGGGAAGATGACTGTGGAAGGTCAGCTTGTGAATCCACACCAAGTACCATTATTGAGTCAGGTGCCACAGTTTTGGCAGCTGCATGTTAGACTGTATATATTTATTTTACAACACCACTGTGAGGTGGTGTTATCATTTTAGGGATGGGATCTCTCTGTTTCGATGACAGAGGTGCTCGTGCAATCAGGTAGGACATGTAAAATGCAGAAGAGAATGGAATTGCTATCATGTACATCCCAGCTGCACAATAAATCCTTTGCTACAACCTCCTTCTATTAGTACAGCGAGTTTGGTGTGCCACTTCAGCTGAGTGAAGTACAGCTGAGCTTCTCAAACACCTCATTGTACTGTGTTTTTTGCAGGAATCTGTTCCCAAGTGTCAGTCCCAACAGTGAATTCAGAGGGCTTGAGGTGGAACACAAGTACACTACTTGTCCTTCATCCTCTGTCAGATTTTGTGTGTGTAGGTGGCAAGCTCAAGCAGCACCTGCCAGCTACTTATTGGTTATTGACTTGGGACAGAGCTGTTTACATTTAGTTCTGAGGCATCCATTTGTGTACTACTTTGTATCTGCTTTCAGAATTGTACTAAAAATCATTTTCGGTTCAACAAAGTTCACAGTCTCAAAGCAAGAGCTCTAATTTAAAACTACTTTGTAATCAGCAAAGAAAATTTGGTCTGAAATCAGTTACCAATGCACAGGTTGGTGGCAGGGCCATATTTAAGACATGCAGTGTATCAGCATTGAGTGTACAGGAGATGCTTAGAGTTATGTTAACATTTTTCAGACTGACTTTTAGAACAAGAATTTAACAACTTGGGTTATACCCCCAAGGTAATTGTTGAGAACTGAGCTCTCATCAGAGTATAGAGTCCCTTATGCTTCAAAGGGGATGAGCACATAAGTGAATAATAATAATAATAATAATAATAATAATAATAATAATAATAATTTGTTTTCTGTTATATTTTTAGAGAGAGTGTCTAAGCTGATAGCTGTAAAAATGAATCTGTTAGCTGGTAACACTTTCCTTGTTCTTGCCACTTTTGGTATCACATGCAAATTACCTTATTATTACCTTATAGCTTTATTTATGTGTGTTCTGACCAATGGGTCCCTCTCCTCAGACTCTGGTGCTGATGTGCAGCTTGCAGTCACCTTCTGCACAGTCACTGTTGTCCCCAGCTTGGTTTTGAACATTGTGTTCATCCCTATCAAATCCATCTTCCCTCTTCCTGTTGCTGTATCTGTCTACAGGGTATTTGGTGTGCCTTGGGTGCCTGGTGTTAGTGTACATTCCACAAGTAATGCAACACTTCCTTACCTACTTTCCCTGCCAGAAAAGAAGTCTTCTTTGTCAAACTTTGCTTTTGTTTTGCAGTCAAGGTGATGCCAGATTTGCCGAATCTTCCATTTGTGAATCTTCCAAATTTGTGAATTTGCATTTTGAAAACGTCTTTATTCAACAATGATCAAAACTGTCACAGAGTTTTTACATGGGGAACATTTTAAGGTGTTTTCTTCTTTAAATCAAGTGATATCAGATTCGACAGTTATTGGAAACTGTCCAATTTTTACCACATTAAAGAACTGTTACCACATTAAAGAACTGTTTTTGGAAAGCTTCTTCTTAAAAAAAAAAGTGGCTTGCCACACAATTTGATTACCATGAATTATCCCAAGGTTTAGATTGACTTGAACAAGCTTAGAGGAAAACAGAAATCACCTTGGGGCCAAACCAGGTAGCTGTGAGGCTGGCCCACCATAAGTTAATTTCTCTGTATTCATCTCCAAGTGTAATTGATTCCTAATACTTTGCATATTGATGCTTGACAGAAAAGACAAAGTTTTGTCTCCTATTTGAGACAAAAGGCGATTTTTCAACTGCCCCTTTGCTAAGGGATTGGTGAAATCACCGTGGAGATGTCTAGGATCCCTTGGGCCAAGTAGAGGAGGATTTGAGAGGGGCTGCCAGGACCCTGCCCTGAGCTGCAGGCTGGGAGCAGTGGAGAAGAGTCTCCCCACCCCTGCACCCAGGATCTCTCTGGAGCAGGGGGATGCAGGCAGGAAGGGATTGGAGAAGAAAAGTTCTGCTTGGAGCCAGGCAGATGCCATATGCCCTCCTTGCTTTCTGTGCTCCCAAAAGCTGTGCCCAAGTAGTTGGTTTGCCACAGGGAAGGCTCAGGCTCTGCCAGAGCAGCCCCGGAGCAGGGAGGGGAGGTTGATGGCTGTATCTCCTCACTGATCCTCTCCTGCTGCCTGGTAACCTGGCTGCTCGTTTCTGCACTGCCAGATACCTTCCTCTGGGAGAAGTCTTTTCATTTTTATATCTGAGTGGGAAACAGCCCCGTCTGTGGCAGTTTGGAGGGAGTGTTGTCACATCATAAGGTGCAGTTCTGGCTTTTGAACCAAAGCCTAATGCTCCAAGCACACACACACACCATTTCACATGTCTGAACAGCACCGTGCTTGTTAAATATGAATGTTTCCAGGACTGCTGCCCAGTTCTGCAGATACAGCATTCTAAGATTATCCATTTGCTGTCTTTCCATCAACTGTGCTCATTGCAGGAACAGAGATTATCTATCTGCCAGCCATGGAAACTCTGAAAGTCGAGTTGTGTTCTTTCTGCCTTGTGAATCATCACCTGTAACCTTGACTCAGCGATCACAGGGGAACACTTAGAGCATGGTTAATATTTATTCTCCAGATCGAAAAGGTTCTCTGTGGTGCTCTGTTATTTATTATCTCTTTAATAATGCTTATGTAGAATCCTACCCATAATCTTTCAGCTATGTTAGTTCCATGGAGCTAAGGGAATGAAACGGTGGAAAATCATTTTTAGTCCTTTCAGAGAGGCAGATCTGACATTAAATATGTTTTGAATGCATATACACATATATATACATATATATATATATATATGTTTTGAAGGTATATCATTTTTCTGGCTATAGTTAACTAAAAATCAAAATAATATATTGCTTCAAGGTGTCAGCTTTTAGTTCCTGTGAGATATGATGTTCTGGCTAGGGGAGGAAATATATATGAGTGTGAGCTGAGTGTGAGAAGAATGCTCCAAAAGACGGTTTTCTTCATTATTAATATAGCTTCTGGATATTCTGTGATTATTTATAACTATAAAAAGTGTGTTTTGCATCAAAGGCAATTATGCCAGTTAACAGCATGTTCAGGCTATGATAATTGATTGAACAATCTTTTAATACTTTGCCCCTTTTAAACCTGTTGCTTGGATACCACTTTCTTTGAACTATTATGTACCTTGCTGAAAATTAAAAAGTAAAGAAAAGGTTTTAGCAGCTCTTTCCTTTGTCTTTTCCATAAACTCTACATTATAAAAATACTTTCAGAAGTGGAGACAAAGGGTTGGGGTTTTCTGGGAGCAAAATACTGACAGAAACAGCTGGAAAATGCAACTGATGTACAATCTGAATTCAAACCTTTGTTTTCTAGTTGTGTTTTGTTGTATTTTGTTTTTTTTTTCCTTGCATGCAAGCTTTTCCTTCCTTTCCCAAGTGAATTTGAACTTGAGATGCAATGAGGCAATTCTCAAATTGCAGTCATTCAGAAGTAACAGGATAATGCACCCAGGTAAGTCTCTCACTAATGAGAAGGGTTTGTTCCCTGCTCAGTTTTACTTACTCACTAAAACATGTAATCTGGAGGTGTGAAGTAGCATTTGTGATTTGGAGTTTTTATATAATAAAAGGTATTTTTGGTCCCCATTTAAATGCCAGGTATTCTGTTATAGCCTGCCATGAACTGCTGTGACTTCTTTAAGCTGTGAGCTGCTGCTTTATCTTTATGCAAAATCCTCTCAGAAGCAGCAGAGGTGTCTTGTTGCAAGGGCTTAGATTTGCCTGCAGGACTCATTTGCTGGACACCTCCAGGTCTATCCATCTAGTTTCACTTCACTCTGATGCACATGAGAAGAAGGGCTGGGGGAGTGAATGATCTGGTTGGCTCAGCAGGTAATGTCTTAAAATCACATTTTCTGGGATCATTTTACCATCTGAGGTGAGCTTAAGCTGAGGACTTGAGTTATGTGACATCGCTAGCAGAAAACATGGAGGTTTTCCAGTGAATGTCCAACCTCTGATCAGGGAAGTCACTTGTTTACAGGAAAGATGTTGACTCCAACCCAGGCATTAATGTTTGAACCTAGATTAGGAAAAGAGATTTTTATTAGAGGTTTGATTTGTTAGAGGTTTGTCCCAATGAGGCTGGGTTTTCCTGCCCACTGGAAGGTGAGGAAAATCTCCTGCCTGTTCCCTGTGACCCTGTGTGTGGGGAGGGTTGTCCTGCCCAGGACAGACACCATGCTCCTCCCAGAGAGGTGCAGGAATGGCTGGAGCACCTGCCACAGTGGTAAGTGAAAGGTCAGGACTCTGGTGCAGGTCATTGCTCCAGTGGGAGCTGGAGCAGAGCTGCAAACACAGCTACAGCCCAGCTGTCTCGTGTTTCAGCTCCTCTCTGCTCCCTGTCATCATGAAAACGAGCAGAAGCAGAGGGGAAGCTCTTATCTGGATACAGGGTTGGACCACAGACATCTCCCAGTCTGGATTTGGGGATTTGCCTGTGATCTCTAATGCAAAGGGAGAGTTTTGTCACTTTATATTCACAGCTGAAGTGACTCACAGCAGTGCTGAGATTGTGACTCACTGCTGCATCCTTTCTGGAAAGACACTAATCCTCCTTTCCTGCAGCTTGGGCTGCTTTGGGAACCACAACATTGAGGACTGAAAGACACATTTATTAAATGACACATGCCAGGACTGGGTTTTGTTTGTAACAGTGAGGAAGTACTTTGTGGCCTCTCTGCTGCTGACTAGACGCTGACACATCTGGCACCCAGGCACCAGAGGATGGAGGGATCTGGGCATTTGTTTCCCTGGCTAGCTCTGGGTGTCAAGCCTATTTCAGTCAGTGAGTCTTTGGGCTGGATTTCAGAGTTTTTCTTAACTACCAACATCTGTCAGATGTCAGCTCCCTGAATCCACCCTTCCTGGTCATGCTATTTTAAGGCACTTGTATTTTAAATTCTACTACTAATACTACCACCACTACTAATAAAAGCCTTATAGATATTTCTCTGAGTAATTTGTCCTCAAGGGACTTGGAAGTCCTCAGGTTTCTTCTTGATCAGTGACAGGATGTGGTTTATCCCCCAGGAGTCATCCAACCTTTTGCCACACAGGCAGTCTGGCCAAAAGCCTTTGGGATTGCTTGTGGAGCAGCAGGAGCTGTGCCCTATGAATGCAGTAAGTGGTAACTCTGCTTCAGTTGATTATTGGTGCAGCTCTGGCCCTGAAGTGGGAGATTTCTGTTCTAAATCAAGGCTTGTTGTTGGCTGTGGTCTCTTGGAGCCTTAGCTAGAGCAGGAATCATCTTCGTGTCTACAGGTATTTGAAGAAGGTGTCTTTATCAGAGCTAATCTCCCTGGACTCCAGTTACAGTCAGTGGAGAGAACAGGCATTGCTGCATGTGATTTACCTGACATGCTTTACCTTTCTTCCATAGGATGAAGCAGTTGTGTCCTGGAGGTACCTGCTTCTCTCAGTAATTTGTGAAACAGCTCTTGGAAGAATCTGCAGTGAGTCAGGTAACCAACACCCACATTTACTTAATAAATATGCTCTCAAGTGAAATTTATCCATGGAAATGCCAGTTAACTCTGGTACAACTCTCTCCCAGGGCTTGGCCTTTGCATATTTTTTTAAACTAATTTAGGTTTTTTTTTTCAACCAGCAGAGTTATGTATGTGTGGTTTCTACTTCTTTGAGGGAGGGAGGCACATTTGTACCACTGTCCAGCACTGGTGTGGCTGCACTGATTCACTCAGCTGTGCCAGTGTTTCTAATTATAGCTGTTAAAAAATCATAGAAGGTTTTCAAACAACTCATCTGTGCAAGATCCTACACATGCTAATCAATACAGTTACCTTAGCTGGAGGAATGACCTCTGCCTAAAGACTTACTAGGACACCAGAATCTGCAAGTTTCAACAATTTCTATTCTTGAAATATGAAGAGATGTGAGGCAGGGTCCTTTCTAATGAGGAGAATGTGTTTGTAATGTTTGCTTTGTATATTAAAAAGTTTAAGATTTTAAAAAGTCTTGAAAGAAAAATTATTGCAAATCAGATACAAATTTTTCAGGGTCAGAATGTTCTTAATTTTCTGCTTGTTGCTGAAGTCTTTGAGTATTGTTTTCAGGGTTAACACTGATAAAATTAAAAATATGTTTTCTTAAAAAATATGTTTTGTTAAACAGAATGGTGGTAAAGAAAGTGATGGTAAAGCAAAATTAGTCTCAGCAACAGTCTGATTTTTGAAGCTTTCTGCTGCTACAGGAAAACGTGTAAAATAGAAATATTAATTTAAAAATATTATCTCCATAAAATACCAATTAATGATGTAGTTTAAATGCAGGAAAAGTATAAGGTTGGTGTTTTACTGAAGTGCTGCACAGCCCTGCTTCATGTGACAGGTGAAATTGGAGGCTGGGCTTGTGCCAGGCAGGGATGGCCAGGGTGTCCTGTGAGCCTGAAGATGGCTCACGAGGTCCTGCTTCCTACCAGGGACTCATATGGAATTTGTTTTCACATGAAGCCTGGTGAAGGTGGTGTAGCAGATGTTGGACTTCCAGCCATTAACAATTTTCACCTTTGATGGCACAAGGCTGTTCCATCCCACAGAAACACAAGTTCGCTTGAATTCCCACGCTGCCCATATGCCTACATTTCAAAGTTTGCTACCTTATTAACTGGTGAAATATGTTCATTATAATAGCAGCAAGGAGAAGTATTTAAGTGCACCTCAAGCAGTCAAACCCCAAAGATTTAAATCTCCGAAACCCATCTGCTCCTAACTCAGGAGCACACATAAAACATGAAGGTGCAAAAGATTCCTATATTAAGTTTTGCAAGCACTCGCTCTCAGCCTTGGGGACATTGGAATTTCACTTGGGAGTGCAAGATAAGGCAATTTTTTATTTTTTTTGTCTCCAGTTGGACTGGGCATTATGAGCTCCTGGGTATTGGCTGTTTTTTCTCAAGCTGATTATTCACTTCTCAAAGCACTGTAAGTGCTCTCTGAGTTCTAGAATTTTAGGTTCAGTTCCTTTCTCTGTCTCAGACCTATCAGTGGTGCCTATCTAATCTGCAAGTCCATTCTGTGACCAAGGTGGCCATATCAAGTATTAACTTTAAAAATAAAGTGTTGGGTCTGTGACTCCCAAAGTCTGGAGATGCTTCCTTGCAGGTGAAAATAATGCATCATTCAAAACACAAGTCTTAATGACTGAGTATATTTGTTCTGCCTCAGATATGTGTAGGATTATCAATTTAGAAAGTAAGATCTTTTTTAGGACCGTGGGGAAACTTCTCATTGCCTTCAAGAAGAAACATGTCCTCTACTAAGTGATATTTTTCTTTTAAACAGCAAATAATATTTATAATATATGGCTAGGTTTGGAGAATGCCTTGGTTGTTGGAGCTGCCACTTCTCTGAGCAGTGCCAGTTCTGAGCTTTTAAGTAAACTGAGAATTATTTTTAAAAAAAGGATGTTTACATTGTAATCAGCTAAATTTTCCTCCCTTCAAAAATCTCTTATCAACAAATAAAAAAATCCTGTCAAAAAAGCCATAAATGTTAAGTTTCTCCTCTGATTTGTTTTTCATATGGGATATTTCTCTTGTGCCTGTAACTGTCCTTCCTGTGCAGAAAGTTGCCCTGATCTGGTGGCTCAGGTGTTGTATTGGAACAAAAAATACCTGGGTTCTCTTCCCACAGGTTTCCCAGCTCTTGCATCAAAGAAATGGCAGCAACAAAACCAAAAAGGGATGACTCTCACTGCTGAAAATAATCAGTATAGAAATTAATTTGCTCATCTTTGATACCAAGCTTTTCTTCAACACCTACCCGAAATGCCTTTGCTGCCAGGAGGGGTGGATGTGTCATGCTTGTCGCAAGGCTGTGTCAAGGCAGAGTTTGTGGGGTTTTATTATTTAATCTGTTCTGGAAATCTGTTTCTTGCCACAGAAAATCCTATCACACTGTTCTCTCTGCATGAGTGGTTTAGAGAACCCCTCTGTGTCTTTCAACATGGAAATGCTCCTTGCACTTCCACTGCCTAGCAATGGTGTTGTGCACGGTGGAAAACTCAGCAGGAGGAGCAGCCTCCCCATTCATACCTTCCATCCTGGCCTGCTGAACTATCTTTTCTTTTTTTTTTCCCCTTTCCTATGTTTAAATCTTGTTTTTCAGTGGTTTGCAGATACTTCTCTTGCTTCCCAAATAAATTCCAACAGTATGACCAGATGTCTACTTCATTTCTCTCAACACCCTTCACAGCCCTAATCTGAAATGTTAACACCAGCCACAACAGGATCATGTGCTCATCATGCAAATTACCTCCAGCAGACAGCCAAAACATTACCTCATGCTGGCCTAGATGTTACAATGCTTGCAGCTAAAATGCTCCCTTGGGATCCAGGGCAGATGACTCCAGGCTTTTTGACTGTTCTCTGGGATGGGCAAAGTCAAGCCTCAGTCATTTCCCCATGTAGGAAATGTCTTGTTAGAATGGAGGCTACTGTAAGACAAAAAAGATATTTTTTGGCTGCACCTTCACCCAGAGGGATGCAGATACCAGCCACAAAAGATGTCCCTAAAGAGGATGACTTCATTTAAGTAGCTAATAGAAGGTGATCATGCTGGTATCAGTCCTTGCTGTTTGGAAATCCTGTCACTTCAGGGGCTGTTCTGCCTGCTGGCAGTGTGAACAGAACAGTCCAGGGCTCACAGACAACAACTGAAGAGCACAAGATGTCCTAAGATGGTGAATCTTTCACCCATCTTGATAAATTCTTGAGGGCTGGGTGCTGAGCTGTGAAACATGCTCTGCTCACCCACCACTGGCCTGCTCATCTTCCTTAATTTTTTAAATTTTTTATGTGTATTTTTCTATTTCTAAAACTTTTAACTTGGTTAAACTCTCTGAAATTCATGGTTGGAAAGTACTGCCTCAAAATGAAGCTGTTCTTTGTTTTTGTTTTTTTTTCCCCAAGGCCTGGGTGAGATTAGAAGTTTGAGTTTGCGTGCTGAAGTTGTATTATTGTTTTGTTTTGTTTTCCTAACCGCTTCCACATGCAATCAAGTTTTATTGCCAGCTGCTCTCCATGGTTGGTCTCTGGGGAATGCAGGCTCCTGTTTGTTGTTAAACTCATAGCAGTTGCTTAGTTTAATTTTTTTCAAATGTTAATTTGTCAGGTTTGGATTTCCACCAGTTGTCTTTACCCCGCCAGAGGTGGGCAATGGAATTAGCAATGATGTGTAAGAAAGGCTCACCAGAACCTCAAATTCCAGTAGAGGGAGAAATGAGCAAGTTTATCACCACCCTCACATCCTTTCTGTATGAAAATTACCTACCTTGGAATTTTTCACTTCCCACTGAGCGAGAACATGAAATTTAATTTAATTAATAAAAGCAAGATTTTTATTTCACAATATTAAACAGAAAAGAACAGGGCTCCCTGTGATGAGTGCAGCAGGGAGCCTGTGAGCCCAGACATGCTGCTCACCAGGGAAGCTCCCAGGGAGGCCAGGAGCTAGCAGGAAACCAGCCAGGTTTCCCTAGGAAGTGTGTTTGCTCGCTGTTAGAAGGTTTGATTCAATCAATCTGTTCCTGCAGAATATATATGCATATTTTTCAGGAACTGGCATTTTCCTATGGAAAAAAAGGGAAAGGTTTTGCTGAGTTAAAATTGGAGATTAATGAGCATGCCTTCCTAGCTGCATTGGTGGGAAAGCCACAAGTACTTTGTAAATGTATGTAAATATATGACAATCTAACACCCAGTTAGGCAGCTGTACCAGACCTCTAAAATGCAGCCTTTGGATGACCTAAAATTATCCTATAAGGATTTTTGTGCTGTTATCTGTCCACCTAAAGCTAGCACTGGAATGAGCAGACTGTTGGGATATTTTTCTGCCTTGCAGGGAAAGGTTGTCTGGAAATGAGACGCCAGAGGAAGCAAAAGAAGAAGCCAAAGGCACGGTGAGAACATGTGTACTCTCTTCAGCTTTGCATATTCAGTGTGAGAGCTGTGAGTCCTGTGCATTTCCCTGTGCAATTTATTCTTTTTAATCAACTTTCTGACTGTGGGCTTGATCCCATGGTGCCAACAGCTGGAAGACTTGAGGAATTGGGTGTCTGCTCTGGATTTAAGCCCCAGTTTTTGGTACCAGCTGACAGAGCCCTGAGCACTGGCTGCTTTTTCAGCAGCCTGAGGGCTGTGCTTTCCCCAGAGATCTGACGGTGTTTTGGAGGCCGCTGGCCAAGCTGCTGTGCTGCCAGCATGGGCACCATGAGGGACAGAAGGTGGTGAAAAGAAGGAGGGTTTGGGGCTGATTGGGGTAGTGTGGCCCATGTTCAGCCCCCCAGGAATTCCCACTGGGTATTCCAGAGGATGGCACATGGAAAGGCTTAAGTGAAAGCAGGACAGAAACAGAGTGTCTGGCCCCAGGCACCAGAGAAGAGCTGAAGCAATTTCCCCAGTCCTGGCAGGTATAATGGGAAAAGGCCTGTGGGTCCCATGTACTATTCGGTGTCTAGGAATATAAACACCCACAAAAAAGAGAATTATTTTCACACAGTCTGTTCAACAGAGATGAACTCTTGCAAGGGTTTAAATATGGACACTTTTTTACCCTGTGCTTGCTCAGAAGACTGCAGGAACAAACACCTGTGGGAAGGACGGAAAGGGTTTAAGTCCTGAGTGAGCTCTGGAGATCCTGCAGCATTTCCTACCCTTCCCCTCATAATATTGCCCTGTTACTGTGGTTGTAGGCTTTTCTAGAAGAAAACCAGGTTTACATGGGGCCACACATCCAGGGCTTCCAGCTCCATTTGACAGGGAGGGAAGAGGAGCTGTGGTGGTGGAGTATGGAGCCTGCATGTGGCTCTGTTTGGTAAGGAAATGTGGGTGGGAGGACTGAGACTGGAGCTCTAATTCTCAGTGTGTGGAAGTGATGAGGAGAATGATCCCCTGGCAAGACAGAGCAGTGTCACTGCCTGATGTGAAGGTTTTACTATTTAATAATTAGATTAAACCATCTAGTTTCTAGATGCAGGAAATAAAAGACTGACTTTCTGAATGTTTAAGTTGCTGCACTCATTGTCCTGGCTGAAGAGAGCTGTGCTTAGTCCTCAGCTGGAACTTGGTTTGTATTTTAGTGGAAACATTTCTCCTTTGGAAACACCTTGTCCCATAGCACTGAGCCCCACCAGTGACTCAGTGCTGACTCAGAAGAGAAGGTTCCACTCACTGAATCAGCCACAGAGCTGTGGGATGAGGTGAGGTTTTCCTTGGCTCTGTCCATCCAAGCAGTGATCACACCTGTAGATCTACTCAGCTTGTTTGGTGGGATGAGGTCACAACTCAAGAGGCTGAAGTTGTGTCAGAACATATTTGTAATGAGAGGAAAAAAAAGACATTTTCATAGCTTGGTTGTTTGTCCAGGATTTAGAAGGAGGTGTGATGCAGGGCACCAGGATTTGGAGGTCTCAGGATGCTTATTTTAGAATTTTCTAAAGGGAAATCATCATTCATGCTTCAGAAATGAGAAGGTACTCTTTGGGGTCTTTGAAAGTCCTGGTTTAGGGACACCTTAGGACACTGAAAGATTATGTTAATATTCTGTCTGATTCAGATTCTGTTTTCCCTGCATGAGTCTCCTTCACAGTAGTGGAGTTTGAACTTTGTGGACTTGTTTATTTTTTTAATTTGCCATTATATCAGCTGCAGTGCTTCTCATAGGGAGCAGTGAAAGAAGCTAAAAGTTATTTTATGACTATGTAAGAGCTGGTATATTACTCACCTTTCTAAAATAAAAGTCGTATCATGAATTAAGTGGAATGATACCAAAAAAGGTAATTTTAAGTTGAAACTTCACAAAGAAATCTCATCAGATCTGTTATTCTGCAAAATATTTCCCTGCAAAGGTGACAGAGAGAAGATCCTTAACACACTATTTGACTACATCTGCATGGAGTGGGCTCCTTCAGCAACAGAGCAAGTTATCCTGTCCCTCTCACTCCTGCCACCTGTGACTGCAGCAAAAAGAGTTGAATATTTACTCCCTGTGTATTTTTTGCCATGATGAATTTTCACTGGGACACTGCTGACCCTGTCAGCCATCTGTTTTTGGTACTGGGCTGCCACACAGTGGCCTCCTTCAGAAACCTGGGGGATTGGAGGAGGAAGGGGAAATACCAAGTTGATAGCAAGAATGAGCAAATGCAAACATCATGATTCAGTTTACAGTGCCTGTTAATACCTTACTGGGTATTAAAGTATATTGACTATAATAATATAATATAAAGTATTATTAAGGTATAAACTGGGGAAGCAGTTTTATTCTGTTGAGTCAAAACAACAAGAAGAAACAAACATGAGAACATAGAAAAAAAGAGGTAGGAATCCCCTGAGTTAACTAACAAAAAATTCTTTCAAGAATTTTATAAAGGAGTTTGTATTAAAGTAGAAGAGTTTTCTCTGAATTGCTGATACCTCCTTTCTTCTCTTTGCTACTTCCTCTTTTTTCCCTAGATACAGACAACTAAAATTTGAAGCTTCTTCCTTTTAGATGAGCTCATATTGGGAGCATATTCAGGGTGGAGGTTTGGTTTTGTACTGCTGGTACAGATCTGGAACCTGTGTGGCTTTAAATTTCAGCTAAAGTTCCTTCATGCAGGTTCTGCCTTTGTAAAGCGTCATAGAATGGTGTGGGGGTGGAAGGGATGATAAAAACCATCCTGTTTCAAACTGCCTGTCATCAGCAGGGGTGCCACCCACTACCCCAGGCTGCTCAGAGCCCCATCCAGCCTGGCCTTGAACACTTCCAGGGATGGGGCATCCACAGCTTCTCTGGGAAACTGTTCCACCAGGAGGGAGATGGGAATGGGGTCTACTTCCAAATCCTTCCAGGACTCTTACTATGTAGCTGTGATATAATACATGGGCTTTTGCTGCCCTAAAGGCTGATATTTTGACACCCTTCACTCCCCTGTGTCTTCCTCATTCCTGCAAGAAGGAATCCTTCCACAGCAGGTGGTCAGTCCTGGAGACTTCTAATACACCTGACCCTGACAGGCTGCTGTGATGAATAATCTGAGACAATAGAAAATCTGACAGTGTGAGACACTCTGATTTTCTGACACTCCAAATAGTCACTTCAGACTCTTAAATGGAAGACAGGATTTAGGAAGTTTGGATTTCTGTGGTGTTATGTGCCTGCAGTCAGACAAGGTGTGTTGGTTCATTAATATGAATTAATGCCAAGCAAGGAAGCAGAAAAGTAGGAAAAGGAACTCTGTCTGTAAGAAAAGACTGATCAAATCTTAAAAATAGTTTCATGTGATTATTTATCAGGTTTAGATCCATTATTTTATGTAATCATCTGTGATAGGAATGTTCTGTACCTGCTTGTTCTAAGAATAAGCATCCTGTGCCCTTTGATTTGCCATAGTGTGAAGAGTCTGATGTTGTTTACAGTAGGTAGATGTGAAATATATTTCACATATTAAAAGCTCTGGGATCTTCATTTTAACACCTGCACATTAGTGCTATTAGAGTGGTGAGTGTTTCCTTGGTGAAATTATTGCTTGCTTTGTCATTGTGCTTATAAGGCTGGTTTTATTTTGCCATAAATTCCAGTGCAGGCAGAGAAGCACAAGTGACAGAGGCAGATGTTGCAGGCAAAATTGTCCCTACTTGGGGAATTTTTGTTTAATCTAATTTACTGCCAATTAACACAAACTTCTGGTCACCTTGGTTGTGATGTTGAAAAACAGAGGGACGAAACAGATCAAATAAACACTTTGGTAGAAAACTTTCCTGTCCCTTCCCCAGGCTCAGCAGAAGTTTGATCAACATTCACAGGAGAAAAAGCCTGGATGTAACAAATGAGAGCTGGAATTGAAAGGGTCATAAAGGGATGTGGTGGGGCACCAACTTTCCTGGATATGTATTTTCAATAAAAGCAACCACTTTCTGCAATCTGATGGATGTCTCTTAATGGTTTGTTTATCTGAGAAATGGAGAACAGGTTAATTTTTGAAAGAAAAAGTCCATGCAAAAGTATGTGCACTCAAGATCCCAAAAGGAAGTATAGAGAGGAAATCAAATTCTGTATTTGATGAAAATCACAGTGCAATTAGCCAGAAAAGAGTTTGTTGGAAAAATCTGGTGAATTTTTTATGTGGAAATATGGCCATGTGGTATCTTTTTCAAGGAAATTCACAAATAATTATATATATATATTTACATTTTGGAAAATGTTTCAAAATAATAAGACGGTGTGAAAAGAAACTGAATATTTTGATTGAAATTTGATTTCAGCTTTTATATATGTTCTGTTAGTAAAAATGTGATGAAACTTTCAGCACAGAGAAAGAAGTTTTAAGCAGAAAGAAGAGCAAAGCCATCAGTGTGTATCCATTTGCTGTTGTTATTAATGATTTTCAAAAATGAATAAAAAATTAATGTTTTATGGATTAATAGGAGTAGTTATATTTAATTCCTGACTAAATAATTTCATATATTTCAATTTGTTAAATAATATAAGAACAGTATATATAACTGAAGCAGTAAAGCATTCCTTTAAAATAGTTGAAAGTTCCTAGCTATTCTTTTTGAAAGAAACAAATTTCAGAGCTTTTATTCCATGGGAAATTTTGGAAATCATCTTTTCCTTTGAGAATAAAACTTCATTGAAATAGGTGGAATTTCCCACAAAATAAGTGCTAGGTTTTGAGAAACTTTAGCTCAGAGTTTGGGGGAAAGTCACAAAAATGTTTAGTTTCCTGCTGGAGAATGGGAGATGAGTCCTGAAACCACTGAGCAGTAATAACAGAATTCTTGTCTGGATGAAAAAGAAAAGAGAAATCCCATCACTGGGAACTGGAATGTCCTTGGAGCTATATCACTCAATGTGACCTCTGAAATGCATCCCACTGGCCATGTTTGGAGCCTAGAATTTTTGGTGGGGTGT